CTCCTTGGAGACGTCTACAGTACCAGCAATTGCCAAGGTAGCAGCCGATACTCACAGGATGCTTCACCAACAGTACGAATCTATGTTCGAAAGAGAATACATGCGTGCTGTCCAGGAAGCGTTTTACTACCAGCGCGATGTTGTGGGAGATCCGACTGGCGCCTTGAGCCGCCCATACATCGCCAAACTAGCACCGCTTTTTGATATTATCAAAATCAGTAACAGCCGCTACCAGAGGAAGTTCTTATCCAACCTTTGCTCCAAGGTGGATTTTGAACTCAAAAAGCTCAAGGTCACCGGCGACCCGCCTGAACACCTTTTGCTCGCCCGGTTTGTGGCGCAAAATCTCGCGTTCTTGGATTATGGCCAGCTTGCGGAACTCGTGCCGACTATTGGTTGTATGGAACGCATCGTGTCTGCAACGGGAACCGTTGTGGCTCACTCAATCGAGACGGAAATCTTCAATTCGAAGCCTGAGACGTCGGCCGAAGGTGGGGCAGCGACGACTATGTCCGCGGCGCAGGGTCTAGGAGACATGGCTCCGAAACCAGAGGTCAACCCAGAGACCCTGCGGCTTCTGACCACGGCTGCCGCATCCCTCGCCATGCTATGGGAAGCCCGAACATATCTTCGTCGTCTCTACGGAGTCACAGCACATGTGCGTGACAAGGAAGCTAAAGCCGGGTCCAAAGAGCTCAACAAGTCGGCCACCAAGGTGCATGGAATTACCGGCGACAAATTCTGGGACGCGATCGCACGGAACATGAACTCTCTGAGTAGCGAGGAGGCGATGATTGAGAAATGCCGAGAATTTGCGACCTTACTCGCGATTGACGACGAGTTTAAGGTGGGAGACAACGAGGATGCCGAGGGAGAAGAAGTCACGGACATGGATGATCAGGGAGCTGCATGGGCTTCCACGGGTGTGCAGAGACCCGCGAAGAGAAAGAATTCGACGTCCGGCCACAGTCCGGTGAAACGTCCGCGCGGGCGAAAGAGCGGCTCGGGAAAAAAACGAGCCAGCACTGAACCGGGAGACGAACAGGAATGGCATTGACCATTAACAAAAGAAGCCGAAGGCCCGTTGATCGGGTCGGTTTTGATGGAGGAAGTGTAACTGGGCTGTTTAATAGTCGAAAGGTTGCATGCATATGGGACCCGGTCCGGCGTTAATGGGGAGGAGAATTTGCTTTGGTTTGGTAACTGAGCGCTACTGATGAACTTTCACACTTATTCCCATATTTCTAAACCAGAGAAGAGCATGCTTACTGGTTTCTTTTGTTGTTATCCATACACGAGTACTACTATCTTCATTGAATCTCGGAAGGGTGGGCTACCTCCACATTTCTTGGGTCGATGTTTTCTAGCTTGTGGTGGAAAAGGTTGGACTGCCGAGATATAGATTACTTTTAGCTCGTGCTATCAATATTGTCACAGCTACTTGCAACTGTTGGTGAAGATTAGTATGTAGTGAGTGAGTGCGCATTAGCACCCGCTATTCAAGTTCTTCTATAGTGCTCATACTGAGTGGATGCCAAGCCGGGCCCTGCAGGCCGAGTGGGCCTCAGTCCTTCCAGTTAGCGGGCTTGGCTCCCAATGACGTCGCCTGCCACTCCCTCCGATTTTCGCGTGTCTCTTGCTGTTCTGTTCATTCTTCCCCTTCCCACTCTTCCTCACTTACGCTCGGTGGTGCAACTTCGTCATTTGGTGTATTCACTCGTTCTCTTGGTGAATTTCTGTCTATTCTATCTTTGGTTTCCATTGTGGGTTGTAAATATTTAGCCCAGCCCTTCAGATTCAGCTGTTCTTCCTTGTGCTGTTTTTCTCCCCCTACCGCTTCCATGAGCGCAGCTTTGCTCCGGCGTCGTCCGGACTCGTCTTCGCTACGGAGAATCGGCCTTGTCTCTCGTCGTTACAATTCCTCAAAGCGCTCGGCATCAATTGGCTTGGTAACAGCCCAAACCCGATCATCTCTTCTAAAGCCTACCGCTCAATGTCTGTCGTCGCGGACGTTCTTCAACCCCCGGTATTCGGCCCGGCATAAGTCCACCACAACAGAGGCTGCAGAGGTCGTGCAGAGATCCTCCATCCGCAATGTCTTGTTCAAATCGTTCGCATACTGTGGTTTCTTCATTGTTATGAGCGGTGCGGCAGTGGTGGCTTTCTTCATCTACGATGCGACCACGTACCGCGAGAACTCCAGCGCCGGGGATGTCCCGGTCTCGGAATTGGCCCTGAATCCCCGACGGGGCGGCCCCAAGAATCTGCCCATCGCCGAGGTCCTAATCAGTGACAATGACTCGGACGACCGCTTGGCAAACCAAGACAAGCCTAGGTTGGTGGTGCTGGGAACGGGCTGGGGAAGCATTGCGCTGCTGAAGCACCTCAACCCGGGTGACTACCATGTCACGGTCGTGTCCCCTACCAATTATTTCTTGTTCACACCTATGCTACCGTCCGCAACGGTGGGTACGCTCGGTTTGAGGTCTCTCGTGGAGCCTGTCCGTCGCATTGTGCAGCGGATCAATGGCCATTTCCTGAAGGGACAGGCTGAAGATGTGGAGTTCTCTGAGAAGTTGGTCGAGGTGTCTCAGGTTGATGCCAGTGGCAAGGAACAGAGGTTCTACCTTCCCTATGATAAACTGGTTATTGGAGTCGGTATGTATTTGTTTGGCTCATTTTTGTGGTTGATTGCACAGACTGATGTTGAGGTTCTCAATCTGTAGGCTGCGTGACCAACCCCCATGGTGTTAAGGGCCTCGAGAACTGCCACTTCCTGAAGACGATCGACGATGCTCGCAAGATCAAGAACCAAGTTCTGGAGAATATGGAACTGGCCTGCCTCCCAACCACTAGTGACGAAGAGCGCAGGCGTCTCTTGTCGTTCGTTGTCTGTGGTGGTGGTCCGACAGGCGTGGAGTTCGCTGCTGAATTGTTTGATCTTTTGAACGAGGATCTTCTTCACTCTTTCCCCAAGGTTTTGCGGAATGAGATCTCCGTGCACATTATCCAGAGCCGGAGCCATATCCTCAACACCTATGATGAGGCATTGTCCAAATACGCTGAGGTGAGTTCGTGCGCTCGACAATCAAACCATTGAACTTCTTGTGCTAATCACCTACATAGGCTCGCTTCGCCCGCGATTCCGTGGACATCCTGACTAATGCCCGAGTTAAGGAAGTTCGCGACGGCAAAGTCCTCTTCACCCAAACTGAAGACGGCAAGGTCGTGACCAAGGAGATCCCCATGGGCTTCTGTCTCTGGTCGACTGGTGTCTGTAAGTATCTCTTCAGTCCCTTGTCTACGAATGTTGTTCTAATGGCATAGCCCGCGCTCCTCTCTGCAAGCGGCTCTCTGACCGACTTGAATCCCAAAACAACAAACACGCCCTAGAAACTGACTCGCACCTACGCCTGATTGGGGCACCCTTGGGCGACGTCTACGCCATTGGCGACTGCAGCACGGTGCAGAACAATATTGCCGAGCACATTGTCTCCTTCCTCCGTACTATTGCGTGGGAGAAGGGCAAGGACCCGCAAAAGTTGCATCTGACCTTCCGCGAGTGGAAGGAGGTCGCCAGCCGCGTGAAGAAGCGCTTCCCCCAGGCCTCGAACCACCTCCGCCGTCTCGACAAACTCTTTGAACAATATGACAAGGACCACTCTGGAACTCTCGAGTTCGGCGAACTGTCCGAGCTCCTGCACCAGATCGACAACAAGCTCACCTCTCTCCCGGCCACGGCGCAGCGCGCCAACCAGCAGGGCGAGTACCTCGGCCGGAAACTGACCAAGATCGCGGCTGCGTTGCCGGGCATGCAGGCCAACCAGATCGACTACGGAGATCTAGACGAGGCGGTATACAAGGCCTTCAAGTACAAGCATCTGGGCAGTTTGGCGTACATCAGTAATGCGGCGGTGTTTGACTTTGGAGGGCTGAACTTCAGCGGGGGCGTGTTGGCGATGTATCTGTGGCGGAGTGTGTACTTTGCTGAGAGTGTGAGCTTCCGGACCAGATGTATGCTGGCCATGGACTGGGCGAAGAGGGCGCTCTTTGGAAGAGATCTGATGAGTTTCTAGTTTTCTGTTGACTGTTATTGAGTTGATTTTCGACCCGTCCACCCATTGTTCAGGGGGGAAAGGGTCGATATGCAGATAGATATCTATGGACGACGACCTTAATTCTTTAGCTTCGCAGTGGATATTAGCAATATGCAATGACCTAATGACCACTGGTTCCATTATCTTATGAATGACCAAACTAAAGGCCAAAGGCAGGCCCAAGTCGTGCAGAAGTCGTGTTGTTGGGTTGTGGTGGTGGAATAATGCTTAGAAAGAAATTCGACTGCGCCACGGGCTGGGGGTAGGGGGGGAGGCTAACGTCATTAATTCATTTACTCCTTCCCGACTGTTCCCTCTTCTTCTACTTGAATTGTTTAGCTTCTTCCTCTCTTTCTCTTCCCCCCACTTCACCTCTTTTATCCTCTTCCTTCTTATTATTTGTTGTTTGTCCAGACCTCTGTGTACTTGTTACTTTTGACTCGGTTACGCATTACCCATACTTTTCACAGGCACCCATTGTTTGCGTGGCTAATCTGAGCGTCCATCGCTCTTGCTCCTCCTACTGTTTGTCTGCCGTCATCATCGACACTTCCATGTATCTCTAGATCGAGCTTTCGCTGCCCTGCCACCCTTCCAGGCTGTGCTTGCAACAAGCCAAAGGACGGACAGACGGACGGACGGACAAATAAACCATGATTGAGGTTGCATGACTGGATTTTGGTTGCCAGAGAATCAAGCAAACACGAGCTAATTTCCAGATCGCTATTCCCCGCCAAACGCCCGTTTGCTGGTCCGAATCTCGATTGCGACCACCGATAGATTGATCGGATCTCCTCTTGCTCCTCTCCTTCCCCCCTCCCCTGACTCTTCTCTCATTCTATCCCTCCTCTACGCTCACCCCTTCTCGCTTCCTTTTGAGTCTCTCTGTTCGGCCTTGTCATCATGGCCGACGCCGCCGGAGACCGTGTCATGTGTCATGCTTGCGGCGGCGTCTGGCCGCGCAGCGAGCACGGCCTGATTTGTCCGCAATGCCAGTCGGACTTTACCGAGATTGTACGCTTATACCCGATCCTCTCCCCATCTGACCTATCTACTACTGATACTACGTATGCTGCAACGAGTTCTAAATTAATCGGTTAACCGGTCGCAGATCGAAATCCCTCCCGACCCCGATGAAGAACCGCCTTCTATTTCCGACCGTCCCGAGTCTGCCTCCTCTCCTCGATTTGCCGGCTCTCCGCGCAACCCATGGGCTGATCATAACCCCTGGGCTGCTCCCCAAGGGGATCAGGACCGTAACGAGGGTGATCAGCCCTGGGACTCTGGAAGTGGATTCCGGCATCGCACATACCGGTCCCCGGACGGTCGCTTCACTTTCTCCACAACCACCTACACGCATGGCTTTGGCGGGCAGTCCGGGCAGTCCCCGTCCACGCGGAGCACTTCGAACCTCGATCCGATGATGGTGGTGCAGAATATGGACAACATCTTCCGGGGCTTGACAAGCAACTACCAACAACGCGAGCGTTCGGCCTCTGTGTCCAGCTCGGGGCAAGCCTCTAGCCAACCTCGGGGACAGGGACAACGTCTGGGCTCCTTTGAATTCAATGTTGAAACCGGGAATTCCGCAACGTCCAGCCAGGATGGTGGCTTACATCCTCGAGACGCGGATGGTCCGCAGCCGATTAACAATCCGCTACGGACCTTGAGTGAGTAAGTCGATACTGCGCTCCAATCGAAAAGGGAAAGGAGTGCGTGCCGAGTGCTGACGTGACTGCAGTATCCTTGAGTTGTTTCGTGCAGATTTGGGTGCCAACGCCCAAGCGGCTGGAGCTGGCGGCGCACGAGTGGTGACAGGGACTAACCCGCTGGCGATGCTGTCGTCGCTGTTGAGTTTCGATCGCCTTGGCGACGCGGTCTATTCACAAGAGGAGCTAGACAGGGTCATCTCTCAGCTGATTGATCAGACTGCCAACCGTGGCGCACCTCCTCCAGCCCCTGCCAATGCCATTCGATCCTTGCCGAAGAAGAAGGTTGACACGGAAATGCTGGGCCATGAAGGCCGAGCTGAATGTTCGATTTGCATGGATGCTGTGGAGCTTGGAGCCGAAGTGACGGTGCTTCCTTGCAAGCATTGGTTTCATTATAACTGCATCGAGCTTTGGTTGAACCAACATAACACTTGTCCTCATTGCCGACGGGGTATAGATTCCCCTCAGTGAGTCACCCGCATTATCTGGTGGTTTTTGGACTGGGGCTAATAGCGTGTGTATAGGACTCAAGGAACAAGCGATAACCCGGTGGTAATTGCCGACAGTCCTGAGCCTGTTTCGCGACGCACAAGCAGTGCCGAGGCCAACCCCGGTAGATCGTCACAGCCGCCCCCAGGCGCTTGGCCTGAACAATCACCCTCCTCGTGGAGCTCGCGATCATTCTCATCCTGGTCAGCTGCGTCGCCTGGTCCTAGCTCTGAGGCGCCAGCTCAACGACAGGAGCAGGGACGAGACCAGGAGCAAGGTCAGGAGCAAGGTCAGGGACATGATCAAGGACATGATCAAGGACATGATCAAGGACATGATCAAGGACATGATCAAGGACATGGTCAGGGCGAAAGCCAGGACCGGAACAGTGGACAGGACCAACGACGAGATAGCCGTGGCGAGGGATCTAGCACTGGCTCCGGGTTTACGGGCTGGGTGCGTAACCGATTGGGAGGAGGGGGCAGCAGCAGCTGAGCTGGAGGGACTTTTGTATAGACTTTGGACGACGACAGCAGCTGGTCAGGAGATCGGGATCCGATGCAACGACTAGCTTTGTTACGTAGTAACGACCTTACCTTGCTTGGCATTGGCATTGCATTGGCATTGGCATTGGCATATTGAGTGCGTAGCCTGTCGCTTTCTTGCTGCCTGTCGGATTCATGACTACTAATTGACAGTCAGTCAATTTGGTTGGTGACCGTTGACTGTTGACTGATGACTGTTGACTAACTAGTGAGTTGACTAATAGTGCGATAAGATTGATTGATTGATCCACTTTCCATCTTATCACTCGCTTCCCCCCGCCTTTTAATCTACTTTGCTTTACTTTGACAGCTGTTGCTTTCCATTTCCTGGTCTTCCACATCTTGTTATATACCCTGCTCTCTTCCTCGTTCCTCAGTTTCACTTTCATCTTCAGTTCCAATTTCAATATGAAGACTCTCTTCAAGAATGCCACTATTATACCGGGAGTCAATCCTCCCCCCGCAGATTCTCCCACTTGTATGGTCATCGAGGATGACCGCATTGTTTACGTCGGTACCGAGACCGATCTTCCCACTGACCCGGTGGATCATGAGGTCGATTTGAATGGCAAGAAAGTCCTACCTGGATTCATCGACGGGTAAGGATCCAAATTCCTAGATTCCCAGATTCCCATAGCCTCAAGCTCAGATCCAGACCCACAGACACATGCACCTGCTGCTGTTCGGCGCCTCTCTCTCCAAGATCGATCTCAGCGACTGCAAGAACCTGGCCGACATCCGCGCGACGATCGCGCGCGCCGCGGCCGAAAACCCCACGGCGGAGCGGCTCTTCTGCCGCGGCTGGATGCACAGCATGACGGACGGCCAGGCGCTGGCCAGCATGATCGACGACCTGGACCCGCGGCCGATCTTCATCGACTCGAAGGACCTGCACTTCGCCTGGCTGAACACGCCCGCGCTGCAGGAGCTGCAGGTGGCCGGCCTCCCGGACCCGGAGGGGGGGCACCATCTCCCGCGACGCGACGACGGGCCTACCGAGCGGCCTGCTGGGCGAAGCGGCGGCGGTGACCTACGTGTGGCCGCACGTGGCGCGCGTGTCGACGCCCGAGGAGAAGCTGGCCTACATCCGCCACGCGGTGCGGGCCTACAACGCGGCGGGCTACACGGGGATGATCGAGATGGCGACGGACGAGAACCTGTGGACGACGATGCAGCAGCTGCGCGCGCGCGAGCCCGTCTCCATCCGCCTGGCGGCGCATTGGATCATCACCCCGTCGCAGGACGAGACCGTCGTGCTGCGCCAGGTCGACCGCGCCATCGCCCTGCACCGCGAGTACAACCGCACCACGTCGCCGGACTTCCGCATCGCGGGCATCAAGATCATCTGCGACGGCATCGTCGACGCCTGCACCGCCGCCCTCCTCGAGCCCTACGCCAGCACCGGCACCACCTGCGGCCCGCTCTGGGATCCCACGTTGCTGCGGACGGTCGTCGCCAAGGCCGACGCCGCCGGCCTCCAGTGCGCCCTGCACGCCATCGGCGACCAAACCGTCCGGCTGGCCATCGACACGTTGGAAGCCTGCACCGCCACCAGCAACAGCGGCAGCAAGCGCCACCGGATCGAGCACCTCGAACTCACCCACCCAACCGACAGCGCGCGCCTCGCCCAACTCGGCATAACCGCCTCCATCCAGCCCGTGCACGCCGACCCGGCCATCCTGCGCGCCTGGCCCCAGCTCCTCGGCGAGGCCCGCTGCCGCCGCGCCTTCGCCTACGCCGAGTTCCTCCGCCACGGCGCCCCCCTCGCCATCGGCACCGACTCCCCCACCGCCCCGCACGGCGCCCTCCGCAACCTCTACACGGCCACCACGCGCCGCTCCGCCCGCGACCCCGCCCTGGATGACGTCTTCAACCCGGCCTTCGCGCTGACGCTGCTCGAGGCCGTCGTGGCTGCCACCGCGGGCTCGGCGTACTCGTGTTTCGATGAGGATCGCACCGGCACGTTGGCTGCCGGCAAGCTCGCGGATTTTGTGGTCTTGGATATGCCGCGGGGCTGGGAGGCGGGGGGGTTGTTGGAGGCGGAGGTGCTGGAGACTTGGTTTGCGGGGAGGAGGGTGTTTGAGAGGGGGGGTTAGGCTTCAGGGGTGGAGGGTTGGGTTGTACAGTAAGTGAGTATATCGGGGTTTGGGGGAGGAGGTATGGTTCTGTATCTTCGGGTAGGATGGATGGGCAATGAGAGGGTGTTTGGGGATTTGGGGAGTATTCCTGGCTATATTTGTAGTGTTCTCCTGGGTGTACTTATGTTTGTATAGTATGGTTTGTAGAGGGAGGGAGGGGAGGGGGGGCAACCTCATGGTGTGTCGAATGACCTGCCGGGTTCAAGCAAGTGATAACTTATTCAATTCCTGTTGGTACTGTACAGACCATGGACTGGGATAGAGAGAGGCGCAGAGCACACTACCGGTAGGAGCGGACTGTGTACTGTATACGGTAGATATGCACATAATATGGTGAGATGAACATACTGCTATTCCGCTCTCCAAATCTGCAGCATGTCTACGGCACTACTACGCTGACAACTACAGTCACTTCGGCACACTAATCCCGAAATGCTTTATACTCTAGATGCCCCAGGAACAAGGAATTAACACGATACTCTCTCCATTGTGTATAAGAGAGTCAAGGTATATCCTGAATTCTACTCAAAAAAATTACAAATGCACCGAACCGGAACTTCAGTTTTCTCCCCCCAGACAAGCCTAAACTTTTTCTTTCTGCAACAAAATCTAAAATCTCAAGTCCCAGCCGATCTTAGGACCCAGCCGCGGCAACTCATCCGCCACGCTCTGCACATCCTTGTCACCTCTGCCGCTGAGGTTGAGGACGATGTTCTCGCCCTTCTGCATGGTCTTTGCCAGCTCCATCGCGCCGAAGACGGCGTGCGACGACTCCAGCGCCGGGATGATACCCTCGTGCTGGGCGAGCGCCCGGAAGCCCGTCAGAGCCTCGGCGTCGGTGGCGGCCACGAACTTGGCGCGGTCGCTGTCCTTCCAGTTGCTGAGCTCGGGGCCGACTCCGGGGTAGTCCAGACCGGCGGAGATGGAGTGGGTCTCGGAGATCTGGCCGTGCTTGTCCTGGAGGACGTAGGTGCGGACGCCGTGGAAGACACCCTTGCTGCCGCCGGAGAGGGTGGCCGAGTGGCGGTCCGTGTCCACGCCGTCACCGCCGGCTTCGACGCCCAGCAGCTTGACCGAGGGGTCGTTGGAGAAGGGGTAGAACATGCCCACGGCGTTGCTGCCGCCACCAACGCAGGCGACGACCGCGTCGGGCAGCTTGCCGATAAGCTCCTTCATCTGCTGCTTGGTCTCCTCGCCGATAACCGACTGGAAGGTGCGCACAATCGTGGGGAAGGGGTGAGGGCCGATGGCCGAGCCGATGATGTAGTGCGTCGTGTCCAGGTCGACGACCCAGGCGCGCAAGGCTTCGTTGACCGCGTCACGGAGGGTGCGGCTGCCGGCGTCGACGGCCACAACGGATGCGCCCAGCAGTCTCATCCGGAACACGTTGAGCGCCTGGCGCCGCACATCCTCGGCACCCATGTAGACCACGCACTGCATGCCGAACTTGGCGCAGACGGTTGCGGTCGCCACACCGTGCTGACCGGCACCGGTTTCGGCGATGATCTTGGTCTTGCCGAGGCGGCGGGCAAGGAGAATCTGGCCCAGGGCGTTGTTGATCTTGTGGCTACCGGTGTGGTTGAGATCCTCACGCTTCAGCCAGATGTTGGCGCCACCGCAGTGCTCGGTGAGGCGGTTGGCCAGGTGAAGGCTGCTGGGGCGGCCCATGTAAGGGTAGTACGACCGGAACTCCTCCCAGAACTTGGGGTCGTTGCGGGCGATCTCGAAGCCGCGCTCCAACTCGGCCAAGCAGTCCATGAGAGATTCAGGAACATACTGGCCGCCGAACTCACCGAAACGAGAGGGGATGGCGGACGGGTCCCCGCTGCCGTTGAGGGCGTCAATCTGGTCAACCAGGCCGGGGCCATCGGGAGTGTCATCGTTGGTGATGACGTCGGTGGGCTGCGAAAGCGCCGGAGGATCCTCCTTCAAGACAGGCGCCAAGACGTGGACCGACCCGGAAACCTGACCTTGAGCATCGCGCTCAAGTCTGCGACCAGTAACGCTGGTCAGGTACTCTTGGGCATGCTTAGCCGCCTGGCCGGCAGGGGCGTCACCCAAGACGGTGATAATCTGGCTTCCGATCACAACACCCTCCGAGATATTTTGAACGGAAAGGAAGTGCTCGCGGGTGCTGACTCCGAATCCGAGCGCGGTGGGCACATTGCCGGACCAAGTGTGGACACGAGCCAGGAGATCGGGCAAGTTCGTGCTGAGGGATCCGGTAGCACCGGTGACACCCATGCGGGAAACGACGTAGATGAAGGAATCTGCGATCTTGCAGAGGAGCTTCATACGAGACTCTGAGGTGGCGGGGGCGATGAGGGGGACGTAGGACAAGCTAACGAAGCAGGGGACTATCAGTATGCGTGGGAAAAAAAGAATAAGGCACACCAGTGCAGGACTTCTTACCCATAGCTAGTGCAGAAGTCACGGAAGCGGACGGCCTCCTCTGGGGGCAGATCGACCATGATGAAACCATTGACCCCAGCGGCCTTGCAGTCCTGGAGCATGCGCTCCTCACCGTACTGCATGAGGGGGTTGTAGTAACCCATCAAGAGGACGGGGGCGCGAAGGCCTTTACTTCTGGCGGAGCGGACGGTGTCCAACACCCAGGGAATCGTGACACCGTTGGCCAATGCCTGAGTGTTGGCCTTCTGGATGGTCGGGCCGTCTGCGATCGGATCGGTGAAGGGGACGCCCATCTCGATGATGTCTGTGATTGACGCAATGCAAACAAATGGTCAGCGGTCCGCAATCGGAGCCAACGGGAAGCGGGGAGCATCAAGCTCTTACCAGCACCACCATTTTCCAGACCCAACAGGATATCAACAGTCTCTTCGATGGTAGGATATCCAGCGGTGAAGTAGGCTACCAAAGCAGCACGCTTCTCCTGCTTGGCGCGAGCGAACGCGTTCTTGATTCCATCCATGGTGTGGGTGTGGTGAGGTGGAGGGGCAAAACGCAAAACGCGGAGAGGGACGGAGGATGGGGGAAGAACGAGTGGCGGTTCGAGGGATCCGGGAAAAAAGAAGGGTTTGAGGATAGGATCAGGAGGACAGAGTGAACGGCCCACAATTGAAAGGGGTTCGATTAGAGGAGAGAAAGCAGGCAGGCAGCACGGCCTCGAATGTAATTTTGGTGGGGGAGGGGGAACTTGGAAGAGGCAGGATTGAGTCACTGTCGGCGAGTAATCAAATCGATCTGCCTCGATTAAAGGTTCCGCCAGGTCAGGTGATGTGGCGATAAGATAAATCTCTGGTATTGTTGCGGTATGGAGCTGGTACGGTACGGTACGCATAGTTACACGTATTACAAGCTCTCTCTCTCTCTCTCTCTCTCTCTCGCTATCTTAGCCCATGTCAAGGGATATAGAGAATCATTCAGTGATAAGGAAAGCAACAACGAGTGCTGTAGAAAAAGTATGCTACAATAGTGGTAGCTTCAGTGACAATAAGACTCAATTCTCACACATTAGGTACGTTGATAACGGAACTCCAAAAACCTCTAGGTCATTTCAGGTGCTGGATGATCCCAGAACAGTAGAGCCAAGTAAGACAGGGAGGAAAAGAAAGACGACAGACAAAAATTACAATGATGAATATTCACACAGACGCCAAAAGCTATGCATATATACTCAGCCTAGCCCCATGTGTTGCCCCAGTCCGGGAGACAGCAAGAGCCAGGCCAAACAACCATCAAGAAATAAAACCACAGAACACAACCAATTCCACACTTTTTATCCTTCGCCAGTCCGGGGTTCTGTTACATCAATTCCAAACATTTTCCATCCCAACCCCTGCATAATGAAAGGAATGACAGTGGCGCCATGCTATGCCAGATAGTTGTACAACTCAGAAAGGAGTGAAATCCCAATGCCCAGACTAAATGCAATGTGAAATGAGAAAGAACAAAAGCAGAATACACCAGATCGTCTATCACGCATAGATCAACAGAAAGATGAAGGGGGGGCATCAAGACATTAAGATACTCTAAAGGAGGGACATCAGATCATGGACTGTGATCGTAAGTGAAGTGAGGATCCAAACAAAAGGCATATCCGTAAATCCCAATCCAGGGATCATGCACCCTCATGGGGAGCTAAATCAGCCATGCGCCGGGTTTCAAATAAAGGAACGACGAGAAGAGGAAGGAAATCAAAGAATAAATGACAAGAGGAAACCGTTGCAGGGGAATAAAATGGTATATCAAGTCCGACTCAAGAACGAAACGCCATTCAATGCAAATCACAGCCCCTAGAGGTACTGCAGCTGGCAGCATCTCAATGCCCGGGGGGACCTGAGACAGAATAAGGCATATAGCTGTAGACGGGCGTGCTGCTCGGAGCTCCACTGGCGAGTGGAGGGCTGAGCATGGAACTCATCTCCCAGGCCCGAGTGCTCGGTGCAGAGACGCCGACCTGGCTCGGCTGTTGACATGCTGCAGAGTAATAACTGGGGGCAGTGATGGAGTGGTAGGACTGGCTTATAGCAGGCAGACCATGTCGGATCTCAGAAGGGCCGGTCATTGAAGGGTCTCCATGGTCGGGAGGAGCGGAATATGCAGGAGCAGCCAGTGGAGGTCCATATGCGCTGGGAGCAGCGGTATCGGAAACAGATTGAGGTGAAGGGGCAGTGTGAGGTTCCGTGCCGGAGTCTGAGGCAGCCCGGGTGCTCGCATAGGTTGAACCGATCGGGGTTGTTAATGCTCCGGCGGTCGAGGAATAACTTGCCGACTAGAGATTGGTCTGTTAGCACGCCACACACCCACACACACACACGCACAAGCATCTTAGACATCAATCAGAGAAACTAATGGAGCTTACATATTTGCCAATGATCTTCTTAAGGGCATGAGTCAGAATCTTCCATGGAAAGACCTTCACATCTTTCTCAATGTTTCTGGGCTTGGGCGCCGGAAACCCCATGATGACCTTGAAAAACTCTTCGCTGTCTGGCCTGGACTTGGAGACAGTCAGAGGTCGGAAACCTTCAAGATTTCTTCGAATGCGATTCTTCTCCTCAACGGTGAATCGAACCCCGACGAGAGACTCAAGCAGGTAGATCGTATCGACACTGGTGACGAAGCAATCTTCCTTTCCATCCCAAAAGATGCAGCTAATGCAGATACTGTTAGGAGCTCGGTCTTCGAGAGAGACTGGCGCGAAATCGGCGGAAATCGTACTGCCTCTCTGGGCACGGGTGAACTGGACTAGTCGGCGCTTTGCATCTCGTTCCTCCTTGCACCAGTTCTCCATCATGCTGTCCAAGTCTCCATTCAGCTTCAGAACAGCTTTTGTGGGGTACATGGCATATGGGTTGAAGGCCGGAGTCTGACCCATGCCACTCGATTGCTGCAAGGTCGAGGTGCGAATCAACTGAGGGTTTGCACCGTAATGGCCTGACGAATGAGCATTCTGTTGACGGTAACCGTGGCTGGACACGTAATGGTTGCGATGATCGCCGCTCACGGAGACGATAGAGGGACTCCAGGTGGAAGTCAAAGGTGAAGGCGCTCGGATGGAGGGTTGCGACGCTGCTGACATGGTGGAGTACTGGGTCGAGGGCGCTCTAGGCGAAGAGGCCGCTGCGTAAGGGGCGGCAAATCCATTCATCGCAGGCAGAGACTGCAGATAGGGCGAGTACGACGCCGTCGAAGCCGGCGATTGGTCTTTCGGAGGCAGCGATTGGCCAATGACTCGTTTTGGTGCTCTGTGAAGGGGATCCTCCGAGTACAACGATGGCCCCCTCTTCCGAGCGTCATCTGACGGTGGCGGGATGGCACCATGCTCATACGTGTAGACCCCAACTTGAAGGGTCGTAGCTGGGCAATCGTTCGAATCCATGGAAACTTGCAAAGGAACTGCAAACGAGGGAGAGCAGGTAGAGCTGAATGGGGGCGTCTCGACGGAAAACCCGTACTGGAATGAAGAGCCTTGGAATCCAAGAAAGTGCGGGATACATTCACATTTCTTTGCGCCGAAGACGAGATAAAGCGATGCATAAGACGATTCATGGAGATCGAACGGGGACTGGATTTGAACAAAGACTCTTGTTCCTTCGGACCCTCTCTGGGGCGAGTAGGAAACGACCTCCGGCACCGGGCGAGACTCCCCCGTCATCATCGGTGAGCGGCCCTCTTCGTACGAACTGGCATATTCCTGGTTGTCCATATAAGGAACGCAATCCGACATCTGGCTGGTGTGATCGGCCATAGGCGATGGGACAAGTGGGGTGGACGTCACGTATGGTGCCTGACCGTAGGCCGAATATGAGACACCATCGTGTAAAGATCGAGCGGACTCATAATCTATTGGATACTTAGCACACAAGCTGTCTCGGCCGATCCAGGGTGAGCGAGACCACAAATCCCTGCCTGAGCCTAGATATTGTGGCCCAAATGAGCACTTACCGATCAAAGCCGCCTGTGGGGGCTTCTGGAAAGTAGGCATGGACAAGATGGGGTCAGACTTGGCCAAAAGGCCGTCTGAAAATGTGCCAATGAAGTGGGACTCTTCAGGGTCCGATAAGTCCAACGACTCGTCTAGAATTAACGGCGTTTGCAGCTCCGGATTGAACTGTGAAGCGCGATTGTCAGTGGATGATCGTGTATGCACAGGACCGCGAGAGACAAGGGAAATACAGGCAAGATCCCAGCGCAGCAACAACAAGTGAATCAGAAATTATGAAACTGGCGAGGATGAGATGTGAAATGAATGAAGCAGAGCGCAGTAATTGGGCAGCGGGCGGGAAATGTCCAACGCACCAAAACACCGTGTGTCTTCGAGTAAGCCAGTTTGAAGGTGTTGCAGAAACTGCAACGGAACACAACAGCTTAAAGAAGCGAATGACAGCGAATTTATCGTAAAAACGATAGATTGTTGGAAAGTTGCGAGGTAGCTCTCCGAGACAAAACGAGTGACGACACGAAGTGGCTGTCAGGCTCAGCAAGGAATACACCACGAGAGGCTTCGAATCAGCGATCAGAGTTCAATGATCAGGTGTGAGACCTTGAAGGCTAGCTGCAGAATATGAACCGGCTTGAGACCACGCTGCCAACGAGTACTTGAAAGAGCCTATAGGAGAACTATTTCCATCTGAGGGCGATGTATCAACCTTTCAATGCGGTCTGACCTGGCGAACTAATGGTCGAGAATTCGGGGCGGGATGTCTTAAAAGGTAGCGAGTGAAGCTGTGTCAACAGAGCGAGACAGGAGCAAGCTTATTTGTCCGGTTTTCCTAAGAATGAAATGAGACTCCAGAACTTCCTGGGATATGGAAGATCGAATGACGACGGGCCACGAACTACTCGGCTGAAGAGTGCGAACTTTCCCAGAGACGAGGATCCGGCCCGTTGCATAGACAAGAACTTACCAGGGTGAGACGAAGATGTTCAGGTTGCGCTTGTGAGGCTTTAAGAGCGACGGGGGGAAAGGCTGCGTGTGAATCTCGTGGTCGCTTAAAGCTTGATGGAAAAGACCTACACCATGACACGGTCAACAACAAAACATCCGAAACTTTAGTGGTAAAAGAAGCCCCAAGGGAGATGGCAAGCGCACAGAGTCCATCGTGGACCCAGAAATTTCTTTGGAGATCTTGTGCACCGAAGGCACGACCTTGAAGATGCAAGGAGCCTTAAGGGAAGGGGACACGAAGGAGAGGGGATGCAAGGCACCACAGAGTCAGTGGCGAAGGGAGGGGGACTGGTACCAACCTCAACAGACCAATGAGTCGGGGAACAGTAGACCCTGTCGTCCAAGAGTCTTTGATTCAAGGTGATTTCTGCTAGTGTGAAATAAGGTGGTGTCTTCAGCCGAGACAAAGATCCACGATGATGGTGTAAGTCCAGGTCCGGCCTCGTTGAAGGACTAACAGCGACAGAACGATTGGTAGACGAACAGACTCCAGATCCACACCTGAGCAGCACGACTGGGGAGATGAGTGACAAGCCCAATGTCCACCGTAAAATGAGAACGAACTCCTTTTTTCCTTTTTTTGTTTTCTTGTTTTGGCTTTCCCGGAGAGGAGGGATAAAGTTGTTGATAGCGAACCGAGGATGATGGTGGTGATGAGTTACCAGGTTCGGATCGGTATACCTCCCGCGCAGCAAACGGGAATCGCTCTACAGTCCCGGGGCAATGAAACCGAGGCAGAGGCAAACGCAGGCTGATGCCGTCCGCACGGAACAGGGGACAGGATGCGATGCGTCCGTCACTCCAGATCGAAAATCAATGAAATGAAATGAGCTGGAGAATTTCCCTACGGGAATTTAGACCGCTCAAGTTGAAGGTCGGATTGGTGCGGAGACAAGGACCCCCCGGGGGAAGAGTAAAACAGAGATAAAACGAGGGTGGTTTGTTTTGTTTTTTCGAAATAATCAGCGAGCGCGTGAGATCGGTCCAGATTAGTTATTAAGGATGTCTCTGATGATGAATCCTATCGGTCCCTGTCGTTGCTTTCCAGCAAAAAGATTTCCTTCAATCAATCCCGTTCGTTCTTCTTCTCAGTTCTCTGTTTCCTTTGCAGCAAAAAGAAAACAATCTTCCCTTCCTAACCGATCACCTCCGGGTGTAGCGAACGTCAAAAAATAGGTCGATACCAAACAAAGCGAGTGTGAGGTAGACGTGGGAGAGCGAGTGTAAAAAAGAAATAAAATGATAAAAGAGAAGAGGAAGAGTCTTAATCTGCCATCACAGATCAAATTGACGAAAAGGTGGGGGGTGGGTTTAGGTGGAGAGGGGAGTGGGAGGGTTATGAGGAGAGCGGCGGTAGTAGAAGAAAGACAAGGACAATAGTAGTCGTAGTAAGTTAGTGGTTGGTTAGTGGTGGTGGTGGTGGTGATGTAGTTAGTGGTAGAATTGGTAGTAGCGGGAGTAGTCCAGTAGATTAAAAAAAGAACAGGGACGAGCGACAGATGGAGTAAACCAAAAAATATAGTAAAGAAAAGATAGGGTAAAGAAAAAAAAAAAAAGAAATAAACCAAAAAAAAGGTGACGGCCGAGTACGAAGATGACGAGAGATATATTACTCTCGTTCTCTCTTAGTCCCAACTTAAGGGCCGAGGAAGTAGGGTAAATGGTAGGCAGGTTGGCAGGTTGTAACTTAGCGGTGGTAAAGAACGAGGGCCCTGGAGGATCGGATGGCCCTTAGTGTGGCGGGGAATGCGCTGGTGAGAAGATGGGTAATGATGATAATAGTAACAATAATAATAATAATAATAATCATAATAAAAATAATAATCATAAACACCACCCCAATCACTATCGGGCGGATTGATTGTCTAAGGTTAGTGTAAGGTACTGACTGGAGTTTATAAAGTAGGAGATATATGACTTTTAGACATTGGGGATGATGAAGTCCGCTTTTTGTCTCCTCTTCCAGTGCTGTTTTTATCATCGGTAGTACCTTGAATTGGAAAGTACTCGGAGAAACTGAGCTGAACCATCATCACTACGCCCTGAGCATATGGGCTGGTTGGCCCATTGTTTTCTCAGGGCTCCATAGTAAAAAAAGTCCCTGGACTGGTGGTACCTCCACATCTCAACCGCTAACCGTTCACCCAAGGAGAATGGAACCTAAGGTACGGAGTACCTACCCTAGTACTCCCTACCCTACCGGTACCAACCACCAACTACCGTCCTAAACTACGAGAGCAAGAACTATCTTACTAAGCAGCTCAGCACTTGTCATAACGCCAACCACGCAGTAGGTTAAGGAAACACTAATCTAAGGTGAGGCTTTTCATTCCTAAGAGACTCGGTAGAAAGGACATTCTCCCCCGTAGAAGAAGCAGGAACTTATTTTGGCCTCTTTCACCTGATGCCGGAGAAGAGGGGCCCAAGTGGAGGAAAAGGTGTTCTTGCTGAATTGCCGAAAAAGGGTTAGCTCAGGGCTAAATCCATCCTCTATCATGATTTTATGACTTTATGAATTCTTTTTGAATAATCAATTTCTGGAAGGACTTAGCACCATCTGGTTATGACCGGGGTTTCCATTACTAGCAGTTAGGTCAGGATTAGTCGGTGGTGAATAAAGCAGGACCCCCCAATTCAGTACCGGACAGGCTAAGAATCTGGCAAGGGTGTTTTAGCACCAGCAGGCCACCGTTCAAGCGGTCCATGCCGCCATGACCGAGTGGGGCACCCCCCGAGGAGCTACTGAGTAGGGAAATCCTTTTACCAAAAAAATGAAAATAAAAATAAAAAGGAAAATCAAAAAGAGAGAAGAGAGAACTTGGACGGAAAACAAAAATGAGAGTGAAAAAAGGATAAAAGTGAATAACCGATTATTCATAATAATGCCGACTGGCTGTGGCTACTACTGCTGCTGCAAAAATAAGCCTGGTTGACAAGATGTGGTTGACACCTATTTTTATTCCATTGATGCAACAACTGGCAATCAATCAACTTCATACAGACAATACAGCATGGGAAGGGAGGATTCCTAGCTTAACTTAGTACTGCTCACCTGGAATCGGACTCGGAGGTCGGGTCGCTGCAATAGATCCATCCTTCCATACAATACACTTCCTGGTTTCTAATCCGTCATCATGTGTTCCTATTTGTTTGTTCATAATTTTCCGACAGGGCAGCAGCCTTAGGGACAATAAGATTGAAGTGATTGTGGATGGCTAGCACCGCCTCCTGGCCTACTAGCAGTTTAGCACCCAGTCAGAATCTGGTACCTAGTGGCCTAAGAACTTTGATTCCCCAGTGACTAGCAGAAACCGGGCATGAGGGAGTGGAACGAAGTAGTACAGATGTACCAGTAAAAAGAGTCTGATCGAACCTTGTCGCATTCGCATTACAGTTCCTCGTTGTTATTACTGGCTACAGGAGAACTGTCAAGAGAGCCAGGACACAACCGCACCGCCTGCACCACTGCAGTCATTGTTTGGCGCTTCTTCGGACTTCTATCCAGTCTATTGGGTCGCTGGTGACTCTTTCTCCACGATGCTCAGAGTCAGAAAAGGGTTCCATCCTCGTGGCCTAGGAAAAGGTCTGCTGCTGCTGCTGCTTATCTAATTCATGTGCCAGGTACTAGTTGATTATGATCATCTCCTGACCTTATCTCATTCACCATAATTGCCATGATATCAACTTTACGGATCAACTCGCCGTTAATGGCCCACTTGGAAGCCCCTTCGAGCCCGTAGTACCGTCGGGAGCGAATTGAACTTGACAGAGTCCGAACAGGATACGGGAGGCAGATGGGCAGACGGGCAGATGACCTAATGGCATCCATCCAAAGTCAACTTTGACAGTACTATCAGCTTCGCCAAGGCCCTGTTCTGTTGCAGGGCATGCGACCGATCGTGAGGTTCGTGAAGCGTGGCATATATTTAGCTCTCCGGGCAGTTTGGACGGACAAGAATTCAGTTCCCCACCTTCCTTTCCCTCTTTTCCTCTCCCTCCAGTCCTTTCCAGTCCTTCCCCTTTCTTTCCCGACAAGGAGGGGCAAGAGCCATCATCGATAATACATCGTATCAAGACTTAATTTGGACCAAGTTGGATCCCTCAGGCAGCACCGCGCATGCTCATAGTCTGCTGTTTTAGTCTTCTTTCTCCAATGAGGACTCCTCCGCCAGTACCAATAAAGCTAGTCAATTGATAGGTCGGTAGGTAATCCACTAGGTGTGCCTAAGGTACAGAACTAAGTAGCATCTGGCGAGTTAGCTGCTAATCAACTAATGGCTTTCGAGATCAAGCTGGGTTTCCCACCACAACTTCAAAGGTCGGTACCTACTCTTGGCCGATAGCCCGATCCAGAGAGGCTAGAGGACTCTACGGAATAGTCTACTTCAGATGGCTCTTTTGAAGCTTGGAGTTTGAGACAAGACGGAAAAGAGAATCTTCTCAGCCATTATCGTCTCTGAAGTTCCCGTGTCACTATCTCATTGATCGCATGTTTGTCATCTTTTGCCCAGATACGTATCCTACCCTAACAACGTCCCTCACTAACTAGTATTGTTGTTTCTCTAAATCGTTAAAATGGTTGTGGTAGGCTGATCGGGCCATGGGCCCCACCAGAAACGATCTGACTTTGGAGACAACCGAACCATGGCTGCCTTCCATTTGACTTTCTCCGCCCGCTGCTCAACTCAGGTCAGACCGGCAAGCCCTCACCCCTCACCCTCTTTCATCGCACTCCCGCTGAGCTAGCTGCCTTGATTATCAGCTTTGGTCATTGCTGAGGGAGACAGACACTGGGGTCCACGGTGTTTTCTTTTCGTAAGTACCCTGCCAAGTCTTCTGGAAAAGTCTAATTGTCCTAATCCGGAAACTCCTCCATGCCCTATCCGAACGCCATGGATGTAATGCAGTCAGATCGGTAATTCGGGATTATGTCCACAATGCGGCAGTGAACTCTCCTCTGCGTACGGAGTCGAGTATCCGGACACATTTGGCAAATCCCTTGCCAGCCATCACAAGCAAGTAGACAACTTACGCGAATTGGCGTTGCTCATCAGAGAAGAGGTGGCGGGTGAGTCGCCTCGACGCAAAGACAAAGCTTCGTTTCTCGAGTGTCCTCGAATCCTCGCTGAAGTTGGTTGAGTTGACTGCTTTGT